CAATTAAAAATGAGTAACATTCAAGTAGGAAATAAGTATGTTTTAAGGGTATACTGACATCCTTATTTTCTACTTAAATGGGAAATATTTAAGAATAAAACGAGTATAATCTAAGTACAATTCAGGTGTGATTTAAGGAAAAAATAAGTACAAAATAAGCATATCCCTAAAAAGAGCAAAACACACTTAAATTCTACTTAATTCCCACTGATGTTACACTTAAACAATACTTAATTTCTACGCAAATTTAAGTATGTTTTGAGAACATAATAAGGATATTTTAAGTGTGCAAACTTTGCATAGGGGTTAGTTATTAAAAAAAATACAGGTGGTGATTGTGTTCATTACAACCCATCGTTATTTTAGCTTGTATGATGAAATTAACTTTTTGAATTTTTTTTAGGACTGTTAAAACCAAAACAGAAAGGACATTAAATGTAAATTTAAATAATAGCAGATTAATAGAAAATTTTAGACATTATTTGCTCTTCCTTCACCTTTTATTTAAATAAAACTTTTGATTTATAGAAAGAAAATTATCCAAGATTCACTGATATAGTCTTCGATTCAGACAGTAGCTCTTCGTGGAGCTGTTCAAGTACTTCGAGTACTGACAGTTCAAAAGAAGAATCAAAATTATATTGGTTCATTGGACCTGGTGAATTAGAGTCTATTCTTCTGAACAATTCTTGCCAAGTATTTTTTTTTTAATTATTATTGGAAAAACTCATACTTGATATATCCCAACTTGAAACATATAGTTATTTATTTACTTTTTCTTATCAATATAGTGGTATGTTAATGAAATAAACATGTCAAAAAAGTTTATGGAATTTCGCCAACTTGTAATCAAAAAGGCATCTCTAGATATAATTGAGACAGTTGGTGATAAGTTGTAAGTAATCATTTATGCTTGAGTGATTTAAAGTATTTATTGTCAAGTATTGATGGATCTTTCTTTGATTAAATATAGGGCTTTGAACTTTATCTTTTTATTTGAGGACTCTTTTAACAATGAGCTGTTAAAGGATGAACATCTTTGGATTGGAATTATGAATCAAATAAAGTTAGATTATCCTCAAGAATGTTTAACTACTAATTGTTTATTAAAATGCCATGACATTTCAAAGGTGAGAATTCATTTCTGCTTCCCATATAATCAATAATAATTGTACTTAAATTGTAATATATGCTATTTTCATTTGCTGTTTTCAGATGGCACAAAATGATTTTAATAAATGTAGATCATATTTAAGGACATTATATGAATCAGATGATATCCAGGAGTGTATATTAGATTCTTACTATAACATGTAAGGTTTAGTAAATCAAAGGTGTACTTGATTTTGATAAGTGTAACCCCCTTAATGAATTTCATGAATATGATGATTGTGATCACTAAATTATATTAAATAAAAACATGGGAAATATAATATGAATAGTGGCTCTACTTCAAATTTAAGTCATCATCTTAAGAATCATAAAAATAAAATTG